CTTTGTCTGTTTCACTCTTGTCGACATCTCCCTCTTTTATCACTCTGATTACCTCTCGAAGGTTAGGGTCGGCTTTCTGATGTCGGACGAGTTCTAGGGGGTCTCCCTCTAGGCCATTAACTGCACACGCTATCTCTGGAAGTTCGGCTTCGGTGTCCGGTCTTGACAAATAATCTGCCATTACATTTTCCTCCCCTGGCACATGCCCGATACTAAAATCATACTCCTGCAGACGTAGCATCCATCTAGTCAACTTCCCACGGGGGTCTTTTGCTGTTTTCAACCATTGTAGGGGCTTATGATCCGTCTCAATGTGAAATCGCCGACCCAGTAGATACGGTCTCCATTAGTCTACAGCCCATACAATCGCTAAACACTTTTTCTACTGTGGAATACTTCTGTTCCGTCGGCGTGAGGACACGGCTGGCATACTCCACCACTCTGTCAGACTGCCTCAAGACGGCACCTATACCGTGATCGCTCGCATCAGTGGTCACTGTAAATGGCTTCTCGGGTTCCGGCAGTCTCAGCGTCATTTGGCGGTCATCTAACTGCTCTTTGATTCGGTCGAAAGTTTGTTGAGCGGTCTCTGTCCACGTAAACTTCGCATTGCTTAGCACTTTATATAGAGGTGCTGCTATATCGTTGAAGTTCTTCACGAATCTGCTGTAGAACGCCGCTCTTCCCAGGAACTGTCTTAACTTCCTTTTTGAGTTGGGAACTGCAATATTCTTTATCGTTAGAATCTTCTCCGGCAGTGGTTTTATTTCTCCATTGCCTACTTTATGCCCCAGCAACGTGACGCTTCTTTTCGCTATCTGAGACTTGTCTTTGTTAATTCGTAAACCAAACTCATCAATTCGCCTTAGGACCGCCTCCACGTGCCTCACATGTTCTGCCTCTGTACGACTATATACGACCAAATCATCGCCATAAACCTCGACATTCTCCAGGTTTCTGAGCAGCAATGTCATTAGTCTTCGAAACGTAAAGGGTGCGCCCGCCAATCCAAAGGGCATTCGTTTAAATTGATACTGCTTCTCCCGTACGATAAATGCCGTTTTGCTGCGATCACTGTCTTTTATTGGTAGCTGCCAATAGCCCGACCGTAAATCTAACACTGTGAACACCGTAGCACTCTGTAGACGATCTAATGTCTCCGCTATTGTCGGCATTGCACATGGTTTTATTTCTGTCACGTTATTCAGTTCTCTAAAGTCAACACAGAATCTATACTTTCCATTTGGCTTCTTTACCAAAAGTACCGGCAAGCTGTACGGGCTATCTGCTTCTTCAATTATACCTGCCTTTAACATCTCCTGTACCTGCTGGTTTATCTCAGCTTCCAAATGTACGGGGACCCGTCGTGTTGTGAAGATGGTCACTTCTTCGTTCTTCATCAGAATTTCATGTTTAACTTTATTACAAAATCCGTACAGTTCTCCGTCTCCCGTGAACAACTTCGTATATTTCGTGAGCACCTCGTTAATGTTCTGTTTCTTTTCATTGTCCTCTTTTGCTACTCTAACTTCAGCCACCTCTCTGCTTTCATGTATTGTCAATGTGCCGTACTTTGCAATCACCTTCTTGCTTCTTGTATCAATAATTGCTCCTACTTCTCTCAAGAAATCTGCTCCTAGTATTGATCTCGACAAGTTCGTAGTTACCACAAAGGGAAACAGTATTTCCGAATTGCCGCTTTTCACGATATCATTTGAGATCTAAGATTTTTAACACGTGGCCTTCGATGGTGTTAACAACTAATGCTCTCGGCATGATACTTCTACACTGCAGTTTGTCTATTAACGAAACTGCCGCCCCTGTATCAATCAGGCACACTACCTCTCGCTCGTTTATCCCTACTCTCGCATAGACCACCCCCTATCTACTACTGCCGCGAACCCCAGTTTCACAGGACATAAAGAACAACATGCATATGGTCTAAAATGTTTACGTTTTCGTCTTGTTGGGCAATTCCTCTTCCAATTCCCGGTTCCTCCGCAAATATAGCATTTATTATTTCTTCCACTCTTTATTCGTAACGCTACCACCTCGCGTTGTAACTCTTCTATCTTCTTTACGCCATCATCCGCCAGTCTCTCCCACGCCACCGAGGCGACTGTTGGGTTCATCAGCTGTCACGTTACTTTTGCTAGCTCGGTGACGGCCATTGGTTGTGCGGCGTTCACCAGTCTCAACTGTTAGGCAACCTCTGCAGGCACACTTTCAATGAATTGCGACGCTAGTAGCTGTGCTTGCGACTCATCCAAATTCGTCAGACTGCGGCGCAGCAATCTTGTCAACTCCAGCGACAGCAGGAGTGGGTCGCCATCCCCCGTCAGTCTCGCCCCTCGGAACTTCTGCAGTGCGTTCTGCCTATCCGCCGGGCTGTCGAACTCCACCAGCAGCCTTTCCGTCACCACCTCCCAGTCAGCGTCATCCACACCATCGTACACCGCTCTCGCCCTGCCTCTTAGTAGAGTCCCCAACACCACCACCTTCACCCTCTGCTCCTTGACTCCTACCAGCTCCGCCAGGGCTTCGAATTCCTTCAAGAAGCTCCTTACATCTCCGTCTTCAAACTCCCCATGGGATATTCATCCTGTGTAGAGGCAACAACACAAATTGAGAAGACTGGAGCAGGTGAGGAAGATTGTATTATGCAAATTTACACTCTGCGTCAGTTAAAAACGAAAACATTACATTGAATACTCTATTTGCACACCATCTTTGAGTCGTGAATTCCATCACTCCATCCTTCTTCCATTCCTGTTGTTGCTTCCATTCCTTGCTGTTGGTACTCCATTTAATTCTTGATTTTGCTCCATTTGCTTTCCGTTTTCCTCTTCTGACCGTGAGACTTCTTCTTTCACGTCCCTTATACTACTTATATCGTTCGTATAAGTAGCACACACCACACTATCACTACCCAGTACTCGTTTCCTAACGACAGCATTGCTTACTCGGTTGTCCCAGGATAGGCGAGCAATGCTTCGATGACTTCTACAATCGAATACTAATAACCTACGATGATCATCAATTGTTACCGACCATGTTTCACAGTCATAAAGTAGGATGGAGCGAACTGATGCGCAGCACACTCGTTCATTCGTTAGCAAACGTACATCTCACCTACGCAACACGAGACGCAAGTTGGCAAAAGCCAGTCGAGTCTTCTGCAACAATGCTGAGATTTCGTCAAACACCACGTCATCAGCACTAATGAGACTCCCGACATAAGTAAAGCGGTCAACATGCTCAACTACTTCACTCCCTATCACTAGTTCACGTACCGACGTAAGCTAATGCTGAAGCAACGATTGCATTTAGAGAAGATGGATCGCATCGCGAAAATGCTTGCACTGTTGTATGGGGTAGTCAAACGACTGTGCATTCTGTCAGCGTCTCCATCAAATAGAAGCATTTCATCGGCATACTCTAGGTCAACAGGTGAATTTCCTGATAGAAGGTCAACTCATGAAAAGTATGAAGGAGATAGTGTTATCTCTAAAAGCATGACGATGACAGAGTTGGATAGGAATGCAGAAATTGGACATCCCTGACGGACACCATTCCAGGTAACCAATTCTGATGACAGTTCGCCATAAGCTTTGACTCGGCCAGTATTGTTCGAGTAGAGAGGCTGTACTACATTAATGTACTTCTCTGGTACTCCTTTCAGTGACGACACTGCCACATAACCTCACGTTAAACACAGTCGATTTATGCTTCAAGGTCGAGAAATACTAGTATTGTGGGACATCTGAATGTTTGTCTTCGTTTCAGGACCTGAAGCAGTGTGAATATTAGGTCTATTCATCCTCGTCCAGGTCGGAAACCAGCTTGGTTTTTCTAGTCTGCTCTTCGCGAGGTTTGGTTAAGCGTACAAGTATTATTGAAGCCATTATCTTAGACACTACATTAGTCAAACTGATTCGTCTTAGATTGTCACAAGAGGGCTTCTGTCTTTTTTTTATGAATCATGACATTTAGCGACTGAGACTAGTCAGATGGGATTACGCCTAGTTTCCAGATTCTACCTTAGACTTCAACCAATCTAACTGTTAAGACTGGACCACCATCCATGAAAATCTAAGGGGTTAACCTATCAGGACCTGCTGCTATCCTTCATCTTAGGTAGCATCAACTTGCCATTCAGGTTGACTGGAGATCGTGCATAACTGAAGTATGTCTGGAGGCCAGTTGAACTGATCCCTAAAGTGTTCTACCCATCGATCCGATCTCCTGGGCTCAGAGTAAATAATATGACCATCCCTTTCCGAGATAGTCTCACTGACAGTCGAATGTCTAATACCGGTTTCCTTGATAAGTCCGAATACTTACCTACTGTTATCTATCATCGCTGCCTTTTTCACATCTTTTGCTACTGCTATCCACTACTATTCGCGATCATTTCGTAAGCCTGTTATCAGCCTGAGCCTGAGTTGATTTCGTTCTTCATCATGTTCAGAGTCAGACGGATTGGGTTTTTGAGCGTTTACCAGTTCAGTAGATGCTACTGGAATCCACTGCCTTACAAGCGATATCACTGCTGTTTCCATAGCTTTCTGGATATCATTCCAGGTTGCCTCAGAGACGGCATCACTTACATGGCTGCCTAACTGTTTCTCTAGTTGCCCGTGAAATATACTCTTGGCTGTGCTATCATTAAGTAGAACCCTAACATGTTTTCCTGCTTTGTCTTTCCTACTGTTATTCACCCACTGATAGCAATATAACGTCGTCTGGCTGCTTTAAAATCTTCGATTTTGTAATTGTTTGAACACTTGTTTGAGTTTGAGTCATTTGGTATCATTATTTCGTTATGTTAAACCCGAATTTTTTAGCTACTGAAAATTCTGATTTAAATTTCAGAAGTACTTATTGATGTTCTTCATGGTTTCAAAGCATACTTAAACATTGGCCCATTATTTTTGGTTTTCTGAAATTTGTGTAGAAAGGAAAAATTAGGGAAGCCACCTAAATTGTTTTATTTTTTTAGGGAGAAGAAGATTCGAACCGTTGGCAGTCATTGTACTCTCTGTATTTATGGCTAGTATATCTCTACAGCTTTTAGCTGAGTCTATACAAGCCATAGTTCGCATGTCACAAAATAATCAAGAGCCACCGAATGTCAATGATTTTGCATTGGGAATAATGGCGACTATAATTGGTAAGAATTAAATTTTTTGTTCAAGATATATTCAGCCTAATAATATTTTTAATGGTCTGAAATCAATAATATTCTGACTTTTAGTGAATTACACCGAAAATAGTGTTCTGTTTCATAATGAATGTTAACTGACTAAAATAACATAACTCAGTAGTGTAGTGTTTTTGGCTAAAAATGCTTCGGTACGATCATTATTGGCAGTATTTGACTTTGATTGATATCTTTATAACGGTTATTGATATTGGATCATTTTCTAGATAGGACGTTATTCTTACTGAAATTTAAAATGTGACTAATTAAGAATTAAGACAAATCATAAGATTTATATGAAAAACCTATTTTCATGGATCCTTAATTACTTTACTATCCGAAAACACTGCGTAACTCAAATATCTAGGTGAATAGTAAGTAATCCTTTTCTTCTGAATAATCTGAACGCATGTTTATATGTCTGAAACCTGTCAGTAGCAGGTCATTGAGACTGTAATGAAGATAGGGAGAAAAAGATCAAATAAATCAACATAGTTCTGTAATTACCTCATTGGGTGATCCAAAATTATTAGTACTTTCTCAAACATTTTGGCCGTCTGTTTTCCAAATGTAGAAAGATAGCAATGAACCTAACTGCTTTACATTCGTGTCAGCGGTGTAATTATGAAGATTAGCTGCATGTACTGAAGAGGAATTATAAAATGGTTACAATTTATCGCGATACTGAATACTGCAAAACTCAAACAATTACCTAACACCCAGAAAAAAACTTGTCGACCTTCAATCGATCTTAACCCACAAAATGATCGTTCCCCAGTAACCACACTTCGGTTATCCACGATCTCCTACGCTGTATCTTTTTTACTTCGGTATATAGCTGCGCATCAGCTTCGCGACTGCGTGGAGAATAAACTCATCTATATTCGTTACGTCATTTTCCATGTAACTAAAAAATTGTGTGTTCGTACGTATGTAGTTCTACGTTGCAGGTTGTTACTAATAGGACAGTCGAATTGTAGTACATATTTTCATCACCTCCATCTGAAACCGAAGTATTTGCTGTACAATCAATAATCAGTCAGTCAGTCATATGCAACGTAGAACTTCGAACGTAAGTACATCAGTTCATGTTGCCATACCACATCAGCACAGAGATGTAATTGTCAATTCAAATCCAATAGTAGAAGAGGTAGTAAAGGTATTAGAAGTAATCGGAGAGGTTAGAATTAGAAGATATTATTCAAGAAGTATGATTAAATGACAAAAGTTTAGAAAGTCAAAACTAGAGGTGTTGAAGAACCCAGAAGATTAGGATTTGAAAGAACACACAGAATAAATGCACCGGCGCCATTGCAAACGCTTTTGAGCCATGTGATTCAAGGTCTCTAACCATCGATTATTATCATCTCGCGGACCCCAACCACGTAGCCTACATCTACCGACACGACTCAGTCCACTTGTCAATGACTTCATGGATTTGTGCCATGTTTTGGTTTGGCCGCCCCTAGCTTTCTTCCAACCTATCCCTACACTACGAAACAAGGCCCGACGAGACAGTCGGTGGTTGGGCATACGCAACACATATCCCAACCACCTCAACTGGTGAAGTTTCTATACTTCATCGATTGATCTACCATTCTTACCTTGCATCCGATTCCTAATAACAGCGTTGCTCACTCGGGTGTCCCACGATATACGAGCAATGCTTCGAAGACACCTATGATCGAAAACCAGTAACTAGGGGGACGTCGATTTGCCATTCAGGATAACTGGAGATCGTGGGTTACCGAAGAGTGGCTCGAGGCCAGTTGAACTGATCCCTAAAGTGTTCTGCCCATCGATCCAGTCTCCTGGACTGAGAATAAATAATAGTCCCGTCATTTTCTGAGATAGTCTCACTTACACTAGGATTCCTAATACCAGTTTCCTTAATAAGTCAGAAAAGTTGTCTACTGTTGCCGATCGCCGCTGCCTTTCCATCGCTTTCGCTTTCGCCACCCACCTCTGTTCGCGATCGTTACGTAGGCTTTTCATAAGTCTGCGCCTAAGTTGACTTCGTTCTTCATCATGTTCAGAGCCAGGTGGGATGAGTTTTCGGGCATCCATCAGATCGGTGGATGTTACTGAGATCCACGGCTTCATTCTAGCCTTATGGTCAACCTTACTAGCAGATATCACTGCTGTTTCCACAGCCTGCTTGATATCATTCCATCCTGCTTCCGGATGGGAATCGCCTAAATGGTCGCCTAACTGTCTTTCTAGTTTGTTGTAACGGTTGCTTACGATATTTCCCGGCTAAATCTTATTGCTTAGTATTCTTGACACAAAACACTGGACAAGTAAGCCAAATCAGAAGACGGTTGAACAGGAAGGATTGTATTCCAAAATAGCAAGGAAAAGAAGCTGGAGGTGATGGCGTAAGCCAAGGCAAAGAAGCAAGAAGGCTTGAAGGCAAAGATAAATACAATGCGAGTCTATTTATAGCCTTTAGATGAGAAAGCTTCTGGAAGAAAATTCACGTGATCGACTGGACTGGATTTGACCAATCAGCATGCAGCTAATAATACGAGAATTTTTTATCCTGTTCTCCAAGCTTCGATCGGGCGCTGATTGGATAGGAATTCAGCCAATCAGCGCGCAGCAACGTAGTCGTGCTTTGATTCCATCTATGTCCCACTAACATAGTTGTTCCTGAAATATATGTTTCGCCTTATTATCATTAATTAAAACCCTGAGAGGCTTTCTTACGGTGTCTTTCCTACGCCCAGTAAGCCTCAAACATATACGAGCTCGCACTAGGGCATGATCGGAATCTAAACATGTGCCCAAGGACGAGCAACAGTCCTCTATCGAACCCCTCCATCGCTGGCTGATGGCGATGTGATCTAGTTGCGTCCAACGTTGAGACGACTTTGGAGGTCGCCAGGTCAACAGATGCTTTTCCTTATGCCTAAAGTTAGTGTTTGCTAAGAATAGGCGGTTGTCTGAGCACAGTTGCAACAGACGGTCGCCATTGTCTGTTCTTTGAGCCGCAAGACCGTAACATCCACCTAGGTGTCTTTCATTTTCACTCAGTCTACCTACTTGAGCATTGAAATCACCAGTCAGAGCGCATAATCGTTTGGAGGAGGTCCGAAAGCTTTCTGTAAAACTCATCTTTCACCTCGGATTTATCCTTTCTTTGTATGCATAATTGATGAAGTTAATTTGTTTCTTGTACTGTATTGCTAATTTAACCAAATAATTTATAACGTTATTACTCATTCTCATCTTTTCTATCATTTATAGTGATTAAATTAATCTTATGGATTATTTGTTTTAAATTTGGTATTGGAATGACATTCGATGCTCTTAAAACAGATCAGCGTAATGATATACTCACAAATGGTACATCACTTTTATTTAGTGGTCTTGCTGGACGTTTGCGTAAGAATTTCAACTGTTTGTCTATTTTATGATAACATTCTAATGTAATTATTATATCTGTAAATAGAACTAATATTTACTGTCCAACAAAGTGCTTTAATATATGTTAAGTTAGATACTGGCTCAGTGCACTACATGGTTAAAGTTCCTGGATTCGGTCTCTGGATGCGAGGTCGGGAACGCTCATTTTTGAGAAGCCCTATACTAGGTCTAAACAGCCATCCGGAGTTTCCGCCTTTGGAAGCGTGATTTATCTGAGATACGTTCGTTATTTGAACTGTAAAACCATACTGGTTTTCTCTAGTCTGCTCTTCACGAGCTTTCGTTAAGCGTCGAAGTATTATTGAGACCAATAATTTAGGCTATTAGTATTCCATTGTAGAAGTCTTCGAAGCATTGCTCGCGTATCCTGGGACAACCGAGTAAGCAATGCTGTCGTTAGGAAACGAGTACTGTGTAGTGATGGCAAATCAATAGATGGAGTATTGAAACTTCACCATTTGAGGTGGTTGGGACATGTATTTTGAATGCCCAATTGTTGACTGCCTCGACAAGTGATGTTCTGTGGTGTAGGAATATCTTGGAAGAAGGTCAGGGTCGATCCAACCGAAACATGGCACAAATATTTTTTACGAAATTCAGACTGTTTACTTTTTTTCATTAATGATGAAGCTCATTATGTTTAGTTCACTTGACGTTAAACATTCTGTTCAATTTTTTTTTCACGTGAACTGAAGAAACATGTAATGTGTTTACAAATAATCAACCGATTAATTTATATCATAATCCACGAAAATAGTCATTAGTGATAATGATTTAAGAATTCGTTCAAGATAGTGCTTTGTATATATGATGACAATTGTTTGTTTTAACAAAATTATGACTATTGTTAAGTTTTTTTTCATCAATATCTTTGATTGTAAATCGTAGTCATTCTGAAATTGTTTCTACTCACTTCAAATTACTTCAAGACAAATAAACCCCAACATTTATTACAGCTCCTGTACTAGGAAAAAGTAAGTTCTCAATTTTGAGGTTAATATTTTTCCTCTCAAACCAATTTATATATGTACGATTCACCATCAGTCAATATTTTAGATTTCATCATGATTTCTTTCTTTGCATTGTCATATCCTTTTTGCACTCACTCAATTTTGCACGAAATTCAGTATAGCTGTTTTGATTAGTGTTACTAATAACATACTAATTAGTTTTGTTACTATTATTATGAGACTATGGGGAAAATTTGTAGCTCATGTGGATGATCATCGTGGAGTTTCGTTCTGTGAGCTAGATGTTTTGAATATGGAGTTTTCATTATTTTCTGAACAACGTCATGAAGTATTTGATTTTCTTCGTGTATGACTCGTAGCTTGTTCTGTTGACCTCGATCTTGATTAGTTACTGTTGACCCGCAACCTGTCATTGTCGGAATCTTTGTTTTGAGTGTATTCCCCCTTGATCTGTTTCTTCATCCTATGTCTCCTATGATTTTTCTGATTGGTTGATAAATTAGATCAATGTAGATGTGTTTGTTGATTGCTGACTCACTTGAGTGCAAAGCGTCTAAAAATTTTCTAGTTTTCTATGTACTCTCTGTATCTAGTGTTTCAAAATTTTTCCAATGGACATGATGTGATCGATGCATGCAGACTACAGGTTAATGGTCGATAACAGTCAATCAAGATTGAGGTCAGAAGGACAAGCTACTAATCTTACGTGGAGAAATTCGAATAGTTCACTTTTACATGAAGTTTGAACTGACGATGTTGTTCGGATGAACAATGAAAGCTCCATAACCAGGATATCCAGCTCAGAGAACAAAATTCCACCATAGTTATTACTAGTAATGATAATTCATTTAGTTTTATAAAATTTCTCTTTTACATCAAATCAGTTTCTTGCAGCATGTATTTGATTTTATCATCAACATGTTTATCATTGTTAATTTGTTTCCTGTTGTATATGATAATATTGAATGCGAGTTAAGTGTTCATAGAAGTTATACACATTATGTAAAATGAAATTTTATTAAATTGATATTATCTAAATGAATTCTGTTTTATCAACTCTGTCTAAATGAAAATATTTAACATTTGTTTATTAGAAACTATGATTTATAAAAAAGTCAAAAGTAATCTCTTATTTCATATTTACTGTTAAAACAATTGTAATTAGCATTCAAACTTGTCGGTTTGACAATGGAATTGCTTTTAAATAAGTTAACTCTGTAAGATTTAATGACTTTAATTTAATTATTGGAAGAAATTTGTTTTTCAACGTTTACAATTATATTTTTTATCAATTTAAAGTTAAGATTTGAAGATTTCCGAAAATCAACCAAAATTCCATATCTTCAGACAATTTTTCCTTGATGCCAAGATTTTATGACTTGTTCATTAACACTTCATCAATTATGGATAATCAGAATTCAAACCTCTGATAACTGTCAAAAAATATTGTAATTTTACACAAACTACTACTACTGAATCTTACAAACTTATCTGTTTACTTGATACTTTATAAGATTAGTATCTATTTTCCGTTGAAATATATTTTTGTCATATTTTTAATAAATATTTCTGAACTACTAGTAACCATTCGAAAAAAGTCATTCAGTTTTAAAAACTACATCTTACCTTTTCTGTGATTTATATAACATCTATATTTATTATAACTTAAGTATTTACGTTACAGCAAAAAAAAATTTTCTGTCTATAAATTTTGCTATAAATGAATTCAGAAATTTTTATTTTCCTGTTATTTAAATTACAACTTGACCTGTAATATTTATGAAACGTCATTATTCTCTCTAATTGTTGTTGTCATGAAAATAACTTTTAAAAAAATGCAACTGAATGAGAGTGCATGCTAAAATGTCTTGAGTCGATAATTTCTTTAAGTAACTTCATATTTTAACTAAATAACTAAAGGAAAACTAGAACTATTGACCGATAAATTGATTAAATTAGGAATATACAACTATCACATATGGTATAATTTTAGTCTCATCCTCTTATCTTCAATATTATTCTGAATATGTAGATCTTTTTATCCAGGTTTGAGTGATTTTGAATCATTGTGTTTTATAGGTTCTATTGTCTAACAATGTGTTTATTATTAGTTATCGTTATTTAATACGATTAGATTTTGACATTAGCAAGAATGACACTATTTCTAAAATACCAAAAAACTGAACATACCATATAGAGTTATGCTGATAATACTGAATCAACTATGAAATTCATTTAAGTCATAAACTTATCATTATTCATTTTTACAAAAGAAATTTCTTGTTTATTTACGTCGTTGAAGAAAGTTAACTATGTTGATTTGATCAAATGAAAATAGTTAAAAACCGAAAAACAGTCCACCCTACTACTTTCTCTAATTTTTAATTGATGAAACCGAAATGGTTTGTATTAAAACTTAAAAAGCGTATGCTACTAAACAACAATTGAAGCTATCTGTTTGAGTAACAACTTGCAACTTACTCTTTCTAAGTTGGTATTATTTTTTTGTTTTTTTTATAAATGATACACATACTATTACATAATCTATGTAGTATTATTATTATTATTATTCCCAAACTAGTTTTAATGTAATGTAAACACGTGATACAACCAGGACATTACAAAATATACAATTATACTTTTTGATTTTCTTTCCTATTCACTTTTCTGTATTGTTTCATCTATTTCAATATAAACAACATGGTTACTAATAGCTACAAATGTTTTCAATAATGGAAAATTTATGAAACTAAAATTTTCTGTGCACAAAGACAATCTATTTGTTAATCGAATAATTCACTTCATGAACTAACTAATTCCTTGTTTGTTTGTTTGTTTGTTTGTCCTATTTATTTTATACAATCAACATGATTTTATAGTGCTTAGTTCAGTTAAATGACAACTTTACAAGTATTCTATGGTTAAGTGTATATGAATAAATTTAAATATTTGTGTAGTTTGTTTTTGCTTGAGTTACACTTGTTGACTGGAAAATGTTCCATTGCTATGGTATTTATCACTAGTGTTGAAAACATAGTTCAAAGCAAAATGTACAGCATGTTTGTCAAGTGTCAAGTTTTTTGTGAATACTAAAACTGATTCTACTGTATTAATTTTTACACAGTAATTAAATTTGCGAAATAGAAATGGAAACGTGAGAAGAAATTATTATGGATTTTTATATGATATTTTGAAACTTTTTTTTTTTTATTAGATCACATTTATTGTCAAATCTTTCACTTTTTCTTTTCTTATTTAAATCTGAATTAAGAAACACCTTAAATAAGACAGACAGTGGAATTCAATTTGTTTGATACATTTTTAAAAATCTTGAATCATAACAAGTGAATTAAATATATTATAAGGATTGAAAATATTTGTTTATTGTATAACTGTTACGTGATGTGATTATCGTGTGTAAGTAGAATGAATCAAAAGTGCTTAACATTAGAAAAATCATTCTTCTATCCAATCAGATTACTTTATATAATAACATAAAAATAAATGGATTACTGATGGATAGTTTAACAGGACTCGCTGATGTCAGACATTGGCAAACGTTCATCAGCTTCCGAATCGAATTCAACATGATGCTTATCTTAAACAAACACAAATCAATAAATTGGATAGTAAAAAATGATCCTTTCGAATTTTTCGCCAGAAATTTTTTTTTATAGAAAAAAAAACAACATTTCATTCAAATTCTCGTATAGTGAATAGATAATATACTTTTTATGTGAATTAATCATGCATGCATGCACTGTTTATATGTATCCATTTCTATTTGAAATTTCACAATGTGTATTTTTTGTTTTTGCAAAATGTTGTAATTATTTTTAAAATAATTTGTCGTTCATTATTGAATTCAATAGATCAAAATGACTAGTTTTTTTTTACAATGTCATTTACTCATTAAAATTTTACTCGTATCAGTGTTTTGCGTAACCATATATATATATATATATATATATATATTTGCTGATTCGATGAATTTTCTTTTTCCTATTTATAGAACAATACGAAAACCTTAAATATTTGGATCCAATCGGAGCGATACTTGTTGGTTTGTACATTTTGTATTCTTGGTATCAACTTGGCGCTGGTAAGTTGTCGAGTTTTACAACTTATAATTTTTTCAATCAAATCGAAGTTTTCAAACAAAGTTTGACGATAACTAGTAAACAAATTCAGAATGTAGTTATGTTTAAATAACCGAATGAATTTCAATGCTTGATATCGACTACGAAATGATTCAAAGCATCATAAAGAAAACATCAAAGTTGTTTAATTGTAAAAGATTATGAATGTAATTATATTTTGGCGTATCAAAAACTATTTTCACGAAAAACTCATAACTGAATAAATTATAAATTTTTTCGAATGGAGGATATGTTAATTTGAAATTGAAGTAGTAAATTGATTTTATAAAAATAATTTAAAATGCATAAGTAAACTACACTTAATTAGAAAATAAAAACAAAACATTGAAATCATCAATCAATCATTGTTAGACCACCATTCGAAATCTGCCAATGCTGGCCCAGTAATCCAGAGGTTAGGCGTTCGCGCGCAAGATCGAAGGTTCTGGGTTTGAATCCTGTGAAGTGCAAGAGTCGTGGATGCGCACTACCGATGAGTCCTATACCATGACAAAACGGCTGTCCAGTGCTTCCAGGTTTCTAATGGTGGTCTAACAATGATTAATTGATGATGTCAATGTGCAAACAACACTAATCTCCATAACTCCGATTGAAAAGACCAAACAGTTGACTTTGTGTAGAGGGTTATTGCAATGAATAAATGAAGGCATTAAGTTAAAAAATTTGTGAAATATATACATGTCATTAGTTTTAAAATCTACTGAATGTATGTCCAACAGTGAATTCCATAATCTAAACAAAGTTTGTCATGTTTTCTTCCTTCAAAATATTTCAAATTCCAATTAGTTGATACATTTAAACAAGCATCATAACTATCGATCTAGTTATTTCTTGATAATTCAAACAGACAAAGTTTATATTAAGATGCTTCAAATTTTTAGGTGTATGAAATCTAATTTTTTCTATAAAAACAATAAAATAAGATGCCTAAAATCAATTTCAATGACAAAACACTACTTATGGTTTAGGTAAAAAATATAACAACCTTTCCGATTATTATACATTTTATTTCTTTAATTACTTTCGTCTCTACAACGCAGCATTAAACATTTTTTCCCGGTTGAATTCGTTCAATCCCCTTTTAAAAGTATTCATTTTGTAAAGAAGGAACAACAAACATTGTTAAATGAAATGAAGTCATTTCATTAAATATGGTCTACATTTTTCACATAATTTTTTAAATGTTTCAATCAAAATTAGATTTGTCAAAACAGTTGGTTCATTTATGTAAATCAGTGTGATTCTTTCTTTTACATAAGTTTATCTTGAAAAACTAATTACAGACAGATATTTATTGATCTGCATAAACATTTTACAAATTTTCTTTATATTGTTAATTCAACCAACCATACACTGTTGTTATTTTACTGTTTCATAGGTTTTATTATGAACAATAGGTGCTCATTATTTATTACTTTTTTATTTGCTACAATTAGTTCATTAAACTAATGAATATCTGTTATAATTGTAGCCACAAATACCTAGAGAGATATATTTATTATCAGTTTCGATTGTTTAGCTTCAGAATTTTAGTAGTTTAATGAATAATATCATGAATTTTTTTAATAATAATAATTATTATTATTTAGTTTGACTTTTTTTAATTTATTTTAAACTTGAGATTGAAAAATGTTTCAATGCTTTTCACAAAACTTCAACTGATTGCATAGAAAATTTGTTATATATATATATAACGCATAAAACAACAATTTATCTCAACCGTTTTGATGAACAGTAAATGTTTAATTTTGTGATAAACTGAAAAAAAAAATTTGAAATTGTCTAATCATTATGTACTGTTTGTTAATTTCTCTCCCTAGCTTATTAATTGTGTAATGTGACAAAGACGCAAAGCATAAATAAATTCACACACTTTTCATGTCATGCATCCATTGAATTCTACATCTTTAAATATGCATATAATTTTTTTTTTTAATTGTTAAATAACTTTTCTAAATGCTAAGTAATTTTGTGTACTTTTTTTTTTTTCAGAACAAATACGTAATTTAGCTGGTCATACAGCCGATCCAAGATTCATTCAAAAAATTGCATTTGTTTGTCTTAATTATCATCCGTTAATTGAACAATTGGATACCATTAGAGCATTTCATTTTGGTGAGAACTTCTTGGTTGAAGTAAGTTTATCTTATTTCTTTGTAAAGTTATTTTCTAATATTACTACAACTCTTGATCGGAAGGAATAATTTCACGAAATTGATTTAGTTACATTTATAATCAGAAATGTATTAGTTTGTCTAGTCAGTGTATGGAATCAAGAATTCACGCGTTGTGATTTTGCTTCATAAACAATCTCTCTCTCTCTCTCTCTTCAGCCTTTATATCCGTGACTGAATTACAGGTGTGTGTGTGTGTGTATGTGCTTAATCAATGAGTTTGATAGCATCTATGTATTGGAAATGCTTTTAATTTCTACTAGTTACTTCTCATACAACTAACAGTCGTCAGTGTTAGTATGAAAATATCATGTTTTATAAATAATGAAGTGAAAGTTTATTTCCCTGGCCAATTTCCATTTCTCTTAAAGGTGATCCTTTTTTTCAAAGTTTTCATTGTTCTAGACAAAAAACGTCTTGAAGCACAAGTGAATCTCTTAGATTATTCAATAATTTATAAACTAACCCATCGTGATAACTTTATGCGTTACTTAGTCTATCTTTGTATGCTTTATTATCTCTTCAAGCATCACAGTTCTGTTGATTAACACGTTCGATCTTTAAATACTGAATAGCTATATGAATGGTGTTAACACGCTGGTTATAACTATTTTCCTTATCATTGCATACACTATAATATATACAAAGAATAAAAAAAAATCAAGGTTATCCGTAAACAGAAACTGGTCTAGGCAAATGTTTTGGATTACATGAAGGCATTGAGAATACTGTTAGGATATACATCAATCATCCTAAAGAAATTATTTTGTAAGTCTAATTCTCTTGGTCGATTCCTATTGGTCAATATTTCAGGTCGTCCGTCAAGTTCACATACTTTTAAATCTTGTTTCCCATTGGTTAGTATTCACGGTCGACCTAACTGTATAAATAGGTATTGTCTGTAAAGTTTTGTGCTCCTCTTCTTCTTCTGTACAGAACCTCATATTTTCTGGGTGCTTGTAGAATACACTTTCTACGCCATATCAAGACCTTTTGATACCGTTAGCACGGCCTTGGGACGATCGTATTAGAGTAGCCTATCGTGTCACTGGATCGTTTGTCTTAGCTCTCGTTAACCGACTAAGGTGAACTCATAGTAATTCAAGCATATCAATCGACGAGCATAACAAATACTATGCCGTTTAATTAAAAATTGACTTTTCAAAACTGTTTTGCATTAAGGACTACTTCATATTTAGGGAAATCAGAAACATTGAGTAAAAAGTATTTGTTCACAATAAAACAAATTTACTCCTGTGTTTTTTTTTCTCCTGTATCCAATAAAATGTCTATCAGTTCAGTTTTTACGAATTCATCGGTTATCTTTTCAATGTTTTAAAAACTTTTCTTAATTTGTCGGCTAAATTGAATAGTAAAACAGACTTTCCAACTTCCTACCTATAACTCATAACTCTTTCGGATTATTTATCAATAACCTTGTGAATTTCTATTTCTATTTCTTGTTCATTAGGTTGATATTGTCTTACCTAAAGAAATGTGTCTGAAAGAAGCTCATGATATTGGCGAAGGATTACAAAAGACATTGGAAAAACTAGATGCAATTGAACGAGCTTTTGTACACCTTGATTATGAATTTTCACATCGTCCAGAAACTGAACATAAAATAGTTTAAAAGGAAGGGGGGGGGTAAAAAAAAAGAAGGACATTTCACTGTATTATTGTGTTGTTTGTTTGTTTGTTTTCTTGTTAGTTTGAGATGGTATACACGCCTACACATATCCATTGAATGCACACAAAAATCGACAATTCATCATACGTTTATTTTTTTTCAGAATTCTTGATATACAGATATACCAATATAACAATCATTATGAACATTCTTGTTTTATTTTCTACTAAAACAATAACAGCCAGATAAAATCCATAGGAATATTGATAGTTAATTACAAAACTATGAAAGACAATCTATGCCAATCATAAAGCATTTGCTCTGAAATTATTATTATTATTATTATTATTATTATTATTATTATTGTTCATGTTGAAACCATTGAACTCTGATGCTTTTTGTCTATTCACACTAATTTTACTATGTTTCAATGTATTTATGTTAGAGATGATGATAAGTTTATTCACTAGAGTGTATCTTTTTGAACTTTCGTTCACTGGATTAGATTATGCTGTGTCTTTTTTATTTGTTTGTTTATTTAAGCCAATGTTCAAGGATAACAATGTCACTATCTATCTATTTGAATAATTCGTATTATCTTGATGCAGCAATATGTTTTTTTTCAATCACAACATTATTTTCTCAACTACACTAGTCGATAACTTTTGTACTCGGCTTCATTAATCTTTTCACCAATATTTTTTTTTGTTATATTGAATTACTAACTGTTCTAAATCTTATTATAATTGAGAAGAAATATCACAAGATTTAGAGGAATGTTTATCACAGTGATGCTTGTTTGGTTTTGTTTTTGTTTTTTTTTTAATTTTTATTTAGAAATTGTTTACTTTTTTTACAAAATAAAATACAAAACACCAACATTTATATAGTATACAATGTATGAATCTGAACCAACGACTCTGTATATATATATATATATATATATATATATATATATATATATATATATATAGTACGATGATATTTTTGCTTATAATACCAAAGTACTCATTCATATTTGAATGATTTATTATTACATTCCACTTGTAAAAATCTAAAATTATTATTAAAATAAAACAAAAAAACTATCAAGCGACTGCTGTTTATTTTTTTGTTGCTGTTGTTGTTGTTTACTTGATGCATTCATTAGACAATGTGACCAGTGTCTAATTTCATATTTTTTTTCTTTGTACAACCTCTTCTCATGAAGTTGCGTAGGTACATTTTCACTATGTAGTAGTATTATTTTGTTTCTCATGAATTTCCGTAGCATAATCATTGTTAAATAATCTTTATGCAAATAGCTAACAGGGTAAAATTTAAGGAGTGATAAAAAATAACTATCTAGATGAGTTACCATCATTCCTATGATGACAGAGTTAAGTTCTTTCTCTAATTTAACGCCTTCATAGATTTAGTGATAATATGGAAATTTTTTTACTTGCAATATATTTGTGATAGTGAGATGAATTCAGTGAAATGGTTGCAACGTAGGACTTGGTACTTGTAGATCGGTTTAAGTTGGCACCCCGTCAGTATATCAAAGAAAATGCTAGAATTGTATAGGTAGTAACATGAAGGATTAGGCTTCGAAGCGACGAATCGACAAGAAATAACTCAGAGAAACAATAAAAATTAATAATCGATTGAATAAATTACAGGAAAATAATTAGAATTTAATTAAGGTCTTATGATGTGTATACAGAACTATGGTGTGCCTGAAAAGCTAATTCTTGTGATGGATTAAACTGCAAACTCGTGCATGGAGGATAGCTGACAGATCCGTTCCTAGTGAAGACCATTGTCTGGCAAGATTACTCTTGCCCTTTATCCTGGTGATTGACTAGACTATGAAGATGTCGACATTTCAGGGGTTGCTTGGATGCAGCTGGACTTCTCAGATGACCCAGCCCTTCTATCCCACATGCAAAAAATGCAGGCGAAGACGGGTGTAGGATTTAATTTGTCCTACAGATGTAATTCTAGAACGGTAAACGCAATATTGGCGAGCACAGAGTCCATGGGAGAGCTATAGTTAGAACAAGACCAATATGCTTTAAACTTTATCTGTTTCTGTACATAAAAACAATTAAATTAGTACAATAAATAAGAAAATTACAGTTATCAAGTAAGACGGACAAACATACCGACCAATATAGTTTGTCTTTGGAAATGAATAAAACTGTGTCAATATAATAAGATAATAACGTCCTTCAATTAGTAGTTCATTTACAACAAAGAAAGTTTACAGACATGTCAGATCAGATCACATGGTGGGCGCTTAAACCACAACTTCATTGGTTAGTTATGAAAATAACTAACAACGGGCAGTGTAGCAGCAGTTGTTCTCAATATAGATGAGGGGAAAAGCGAGATCCGTCGATACACCATAACACGCACTAACCAAATCATACTTAACGGAGTAGTTTTGGAAGGTCTGGAGATCCGTACAGCATTATGATAAACAAGGTGGATCTGATACAGAAGTAATGACGCATAAGCAAAGCCAGGGCTGCGTTTCTACCGTTAAAGAACTAAGTAACACTGCAGTCAGGATTTTCAATAAAACAGCAAGACAGTTCTAATCTATGGAGCGAAAACTTGGAGAACCACGAAACCCATTGGAATATAATCTTTTCCTGTTCCACCGTGTTTTTTGATTCTTTGGAACTTGTCCAGTGTATTGTGGTCAGAGAATACTTAGCAGTAGGATTTAGCTGGGAATTATTCAAGCAAGCGTTAAAGCACTGATTATCCACAAGACAAGTATTTATTAACTGTTGTCTACGTAAGCTACATGGATCCAGATGCCATCAGCAAAAACCTACTGTAGAACAGACCAAGTTAGATCCCAGTGGAGGAAGAAGCGCTAGAGTGGGATATGATACGCTCACAAACCGGGTTCACCTAAGAATAAAATACGGAAATTAGATGAAAAACTTATTTCATAGAATATTCAATCGTTTGTCCAAATCTTGAGTCGTTCCGGGACACAGGTTCTATCAAAAGTCGCCTATATCGTTGCATGCTAAAGAAGTCGTAATGACGTATGAAATGGTTCGCTGAAACAAACGATCGTCGTGATTGACGATGTTTACATGTCAATCTTAGAAATATTAACTGAACATAATCCAAGGACCGAAATCTTTGTTCAACTGTCTGGACATATTTTTAAATATTATACACTGAATGTTCATGAAAAAATTTAATCTTCATCTGATCTTACATTAATAACTATGATGTAACGTTAATTTATGGAATTATTTATATCAAGAGAACTAAAATAAAAACCATCAACATTTGTATTGAAAACTAAGATTTTTTTTACTAGCTCTTAAAATAAGCAGCCAATAACTTTCGATGCCTTAAAAAAATATTCAATAGAGTAAAATTAATGAAACTAGATTCACTGTTGTCTAAATGAACTAAATTCATGTTGTTTCGTTTTTACTATGTCTATCATTATGATTATCTATGATAGCCTACTTATTAACTTTTCAAGCTATTATGTGAGATAACTTGGTAGTAAGATCAAAATATACCGACCGTAGCTGCTACCTTGACGTGGTAGTCGGGCTTGCTTATCGTGATAACCCACCCGAGCTATACTGGCTGCAACATATGTTCCTGAATGTTCTACCATGCCGAACAGGTCGATTGGAGAACGACGAGACTAAAAGCAGCTACTCAAGGTCTGAGGGCGAAGTCGTACTGCTGACTGCAGAGGGGTGTGACAGCAATAAGGTGTTTCCCTCGGACAACCAACATCTGCAGCGATGCTGCCTTCTCACAAGGAAGGAAGGGTTAGAAAAGGTCGGCCCTAAAAATGTCACACCTCCCCTAACTCACGGATTTCCGTCTCCTTGGGTAAGGGTGCCCACTAAGGGCCTTTAAGAACGGAGCTAATCCTCTAAATACCTTTCATAAAAAGGCCGTGCGTGACCGGCCTCAAGCAGTTGTCCCTTGGGCTCTGCGGTCACGCACCAACACTAATCTATCTTCCTTTTCAGGTTCCTCAAGAAACAACCTTCCACGGTGTGGGCAGTCGGGAAGTGACAACCGCCCTCATACCCGTAACAGCACGCGAGACCAAATTGGTCAAAATCAAATCCTTCCTACATCCCCTAATGTCTCTCTTATCTCCACGACTAACTCTTCTCACATTCATTCATCACAGTGCACAGCTAATGCAGACGATACGAGTTCGCGAAACGTCGTTCCTGGTCTCCTTAAACCTCGCTCTAGACTACATGTTGGAGCATTTAATGTACGGACATTGTGTCAAATAGGGCAATAGGCTTCATTAGCTAGGACTTAAGAATCTCGTGCCATCGATGTATGCTGCGTCTCGGAAACGCGCATACAGGATCCGAGTCGCGTCATACACTTGGCCACACCATGTCAAAATAAAAAAGCAGCTCGATTTACTCTTCGTGTATCCGGTAGCCCTGATGCTGCTTCCCGTGGTCTTGCTGGCGTAGGCATAACGTTGAGTCGTAGGGCAGAACAATCTCTCCTTGACTGGATCCCAATAGATAGTCGTTTGTGTGCTGTCCGACTAAACGGGACAGTAAGGACTCGGAAAGATAGGGACAATTGCCGTTGCCTCTTCGTCGTATCTGCCTATGCCCCCACTGACTGCAGTTCAGACGAGGTTAAGGATGAGTTTTACAGAAAGCTTTCGGACCTCCTCCAAAAAGCTAGGCGCTCTGATATAGTAATAATGGCTGGTGACTTTAATGCTCAAGTAGGTAGACTGAGTGAGCAGGAGAGACACCTAGGTGGATGTTATGGTGTCGCGGCTCAGAGAACAGACAATGGTGACCGTCTGTTGCAAGTATGCTCAGACAACCGCCTATTCTTAGCAAACACTAACTTTAGGCATAAGGAAAAGCATCTGTTGACCTGGCGACCTCCAAAGTCGTCTCAACGTTGGACGCAACTAGATCACATTGCCATCAGCCACCGATGGAGGGGTTCGATAGAGGACTATCGCTCGTTCTGGAGCACATGTCTAGATTCAGATCATGCCCTAGTGCGAGCGCGTATTTGTTTGAAGCTTACTGGGCGTAGGAAAGACACCGTAAGAAAGCCTCTTAGGGTTTTACTTAATGATAATAAGGCGAAAAATATATTTCAGGAACAACTAGAAAGACAGTTAGGCGACCATTTAAGCGATTCCCATCCGGAAGCAGGATGGAATGATATCAAAAAGGCTGTGGAAACAGCAGTGATATCTGCTAGTAAGGTTGACCATAAGGCTAGAATGAAACCGTGGATCTCAGTAGCATCCACCGATCTGATGGATGCCCGAAAACTCATCCCACCTGGCTCTGAACATGATGAAGAACGAAGTCAACTTAGGCGCAGACTTATAAAAAGCCTACGTAACGATCGCGAACATTGGTGGGTGGCGAAAGCAAAAGCGATGGAAAAGGCAGCGGCGATCGGCAACAGTAGACAACTTTTCAGACTTATTAAGGAAACTGGTATTAGGAATCCTAGTGTAAGTGAGACTATCTCAGAAAATGACGGGACTCTCATTTATTCTCAATCCAGGAGACCGGATCGATGGGCAGAACACTTTAGGGATCAGTTCAACTGGCCTCGAGCCACTCTTCGGTAACCCACGATCTCCAGTCATCCTGAATGGCAAATCGACCTAAGTCCCTCTAGTCTTAATGAAGTTGAAAAAGCGTTAGGAAATCTAAAGCGAGGACGAGCTGCAGGTCCTGATAGACTGACCCCTGAGATATTTAAGGATGGTGGTCCAGTTTTAGCAGCTAGGTTGACTGAGATCTTAGGTAGAATCTGGGAAATGGACGTAATCCCATCCGACTGGTCTCAATCACTGATTGTCCCAATCTATAAGAAAGGACAGAAGTCTTCTTGTGACAATCACAGGGGAATAAGTCTAACTAATATAGTTTCTAAAATATTGGCCTCAATAATACTTCGACGCTTAACGAAAGCTCGTGAAGAGCAAACTCGAGAAAACCAGGCTGGTTTTCGACCTGGACGTGGTTGTATAGACCACATCTTCACACTCAGAC